GAGATCCAATTCCTCTTCCTTCTGTCGGATTGGATGAAAATAGACCATTTTCATCCATCCATTGAGGGGATGTGAGCAGCTCTGTGTTTGCTCTGCAGTAGTGGAGGGGACACAGAGCTGTCATCCGGTTGCTCAGAGTGGATCAGTGAAGATATCTCCCGCTGAGCAAACAGATCCGCTAATCCGGTCCCCACCGTGTGAGAGAGCCCTAAGTGTGTCTATGATGTTTAGTGACACCTTTTTTTTTTGCTAGGAAATAGATGGGGCGAAACACACCGGAACGCACCAAAAATGCACTGGAACACACATGTCCCTATTTACATTGAAGAAAAATAGATGAGGGGAAAAAATGAACCAGAAAGCATGAAAAACGCACAGGAAGGCGTCAAGAATGCACCGGTACGCACTAAAAACACATCAGAAACACACATGTAGAGACGCATCTGGAATGCATCCGGACTGCATTTCTATAGTGTGAACCGGCCCTCAGGGTTTTCTCTGCCCAATCCTCTCCTGAATACACTGGTGGTGGGTTTTTATGCAGCCTCCAAACATCTACGCCCTTAAACACCGATGTGTGCACGGCCACATAGGATAACATAGAAGTGCATTCAGAGGCTGGAAAAGTCAAATGCCTGTAAAAGTGACATCTTGTATGTCCTGTGTGTGTGAAGACTAAAGTCAGATTCAGTTGGTTCCTTACAGCTTAGAAACACCTGCTGTGGTATTTACCACCGCTAAAAGACAGGTCCCGGGACTGCTACTGTTAGTGAACAAAGTAACCAGGGATGTTGGGGTTCAGGAGGGTGAACTAGACAAATCTGACCATTATTTTGTCACCAAGCCCCGGACAGGCTGTGTTCAGGTCCAATTCAAGATTGATCTGAACATACCCTACCCTGGAGCCAGTACCTGCCAAACCCATCCCTGTGTGTACATGTCTCTACTCACTGATAGTCCCTACCTTATCCCTATAGGACATAAATAATGGACTGATACTGCCATCTACTGGTGGTCTTTGAGGTTTGTTTGTTTTTTTGCAGTTACAAGAATATGCCCAGTACATATTTTTCCCAGTTTGGTGTTAGGAATCATGCACACTGGGTTTAAAAAATGTGGCTTATCCGCTTGGCGACCATATCGTGAGGATGACGGGTGCAAAGTGACTTCTCTGCACTGGATCACGCATATGATACATCATCCAGAATAGTTACAGCACATGCCTAGATGCAGGTCTCGGCCAATGACTGATGACTGGGATCCACCAACTGGCAAAGTGGATGACAGGACAGAGCTCTGTGATTTTAAACAACACACAGCTCTATACTGACAGCAGGAATGTGCCGGATTTTATTTCCTTGCAAAGCAGGGAGTAAAAACTGGCACATTTTCTCACAATGTTTGACCATTCTTTCAGAAGTGCATTGGGAGGTCAGGCACTGATGTCGGATGAGAAGGACTTGCTCACAGTCTTGGCTCTAATTCATCCCAAAGGTGTTCTATCAGGGCTGAGGTCAGGACACTGTGTAGGCCAGTCAAGTTCCTACACCCCAAGTTGCTCATCCATGTCTTTATGGACCTTGCTTTGTAAAATCATCACACCACAGTACACACACTAAACATTGTTAGGCACACATTTAACCCCTTGATCACCCTAGATGTTAATCCCTATCCAGCCAGCGTCATTAGTAACAGTGTTAGTGTATATTAGCACTCATCTCTGCATTAGTGTCAACTGGAGATGTCAATGGCTGTTAGTTCCCACAAATTGTCAGTTAGCATCAGATTGCCCTCGTGTACTATCACTGTCCAGCTATAGGTCGCCTTATTGCCACCATTACTAGTATAAAAAATACATTCAAATTCCAGTATACTATATACCATAGTTTGTAGACAAAAAAAACTTTCACACAAATCAATTAATATACACTTATTGGGAGTTTTTTTTACCAAAAATATGTAGCAGAATACATTTTGGTCTAAATTTATGAAGAAATTTGATATCATACATTTTTTATTGGATATGTTATTCGCAGAAAGTAAAACATATTGCGTTTTTTTTTTTCAAAATGTCCTGTCTGTTTTATTTTTATAATAAAAAGGATTTAAAAAAAACCCAGTGGTGATCAAATACCACCAGAAGAAAGCAATAGTTGTGTATAAAAAAATTATATCCATTTTGTGTGCGCACAGTGTTGCACAACCAAGCAATTGTCAGTTAAAGTAGTACAGTGCCAAATAGTTAAAAAAAATGGCCTGGTCAGGAGGGGGGTAAAATCTTCTGGGTGGTAAGTGATTATATAGACATTCAGTGTTTTGTTTTGTTTTTTTGCACCTGTAAATACACCTCTTTGTTAGGCTATGTGGCCATGCACACATAGGCATTTACAGGCAGATTTGAAGAGCAGCGTTTACAGGCAGAAAAAAAGCAAATGCACCAAACGTATATTCTGAGAGGAGTTTATGGGAATAGTTCACACATGTAGTGTATGTGTATTCCATGTGCGGGATCGTGTATTCATAGATTAATATTCTGGCCAGTAGAATGTATTTACGCTCAAAGTATTACGTGCATAAATGCTCAAATGCATTGCTTTGTGGCTGTGGCAATTTTTTTAACTTGACTAGCAGAGTTTGACAAGTAGCACCTCCTGTCACAAATGCCCACTAAAGACAAAGGAAGTGTGCCACAACCACAAGCCAAGCATTTGTGTAGTACAAAATCCCCCTTAGGTAAAAAAAAAAACAAAAAAAAAAATACATTGAGGTGGCAGGATTGCCTCCGGAATGCCTGGCAGCAATGAAAAATCCTCAGTGCAATCACCCTAAACAGTGCAAACTAATGGAAGAAAACTCTATCTAACAGCGATGTATAACTAATGCTGGTTATAACAGTATAACATATAATAACATATATACACATATAATACACATGCGTGTATTATATGTGTATATGTCAAAACATAGAATCATGCATAAATTATATGCATTTAACTCATCATCATATATCTGAAACAAGCCACACCCATAACTATAACAAATCAGTTAATGGTAAACTCCAAGAGTCCATATATTTTCAAAAAAATCCTCTATGTCCAAAAATCCAATTGTGCAAACAATCAAATATGTCCTACATGTTGTGCTCTTTGTTTCTGAAATCTTCTTGACTTGGAGGAAGCCATGACTCTTGTGATAGAGGTGACCCCACTACAAGGGACAGGCACATGAGACCTTGTTGTGAAGTCTATCAAAAAGCTGAGAGCGTATTACTGTCGGTGGATGGGGTGTCTACATGTGGTGATCATATAAACGAAGATTTTAGAAATGAAGAGCACAACATGTAGTACATATTTGATTGATTGCACAACTGGATTTTTGGACATAGAGGATTCTTTTGAAAATGACTGATGCTGCTATACCATCATTTGAAAAGCAACCCATTGTGGATCACTTTTCAGAGGACCATAAGCACTGCCACCCCTGTGAAAGAGCCCCATGTGAGGATGATTTTTGTTTTTGGAAAATCACAGAAACCATTGATTAGGGAGACAAAAATTTGGAGGTGAGGAAATATCTCTTGTTTCAATATTCACTCTTTAGAAACAAAATGTAGGTAATGATCAATACTTCAGATGAAACGTTCACTTATTTATACTGAGGAGTGAATGGCTGCCAAGATCTGTGATTAGAGATGAGCGAAGAAATGAAAAATTCGATTCGACTGATTCGGCGAATTCGTGGACAATATTCGATTCGAGTCGAATAAATTCGCTGTGAATTTAACTTAAAAAAGGCGTGGGTGTTTCTAGGCTTCAGAGAGACTTAATATTAGTGCAGAACACTGTACCTTTAATTTAAATGCCCTTGGAGTCTGCTGGGGAAGAGAAATAATACTGTCAGTCAGTATGACATGCAGATGAGTGCCGTCGATCTTAGAATCACTGCACACTTCACTCATTTGGCCAGTCACGGGGGCCAAAACCAGAGTGTTTGGAGCCACAGTGTGGCGGTGGTGGAGGCAGCAGCAATGGGAGGCCATACAGCAACCTATGACAAAATGGAACCCAGCAGGAGTGTGAGGAGACCTGAAAGTGGCACATGGCAGAGTGGGAGCAATAGGGGAGGCGGTACAGGGACCCAGGTCACACTGTGGGCCCAGCAGCAGCGTGACCAGGCGGTACGGGGGCCCATGGCCGATTTGGGGCCTGGGTAGCACCTATGGAAGGCCTGTAATCTGCCAGCAACCTATGACAAAATGGAAAACCGCAGGAGTGTGAGGGAGATTTCAAATTGGCACATGGCAGAGTGCAAGCAATGGGGAGGCCGTACAGGGACCCAGGTCACACTGTGGGCCCAGCAGCAGCGTGACCAGGCGGTACGGGGGCCATGGCCGATTTGGGGCCTGGCGGCACCTATGGGAGGCCTGTAATCTGCCAGCAACCTATGACAAAAATGGACAACCGCAGGAGTGTGTGAGGAGATTTCAAAGTGGCACATGGCAGAGTGGAAGCAATGGGAGGCCGTACAGGGACCCAGGTCACACTGTGGGACCAGCAGCAGCGTGACCAGGAGGTACGGGGGCCCATGGCCGATATGGGGCCTGGCGGCACCTTTGGAAGGCCGCGCAAATCTGCCAGCAACCTATGACAAAATGGAAAACCGCAGGAGTGTAAGGAGACCTCAAAGTGGCACATGGCAGAGTGGAAGCAATGGGAGGCCGTACAGGGACCCCAGGTCACACTGTGGGCTCAGCAGCAGCGTGACCAGGCGGTACGGGGGCCCATGGCCGATATGGGGCCTGGCGGCACCAATGGAAGGCCTGTAATCTGCCAGCAACCCTATGACAAAATGGACAACCGCAGGAGTGTGTGAGGAGATTTCAAAGTGGCACATGGCAGAGTGGAAGCAATGGGAGGCCGTACAGGGACCCAGGTCACACTGTGGGACCAGCAGCAGCGTGACCAGGCGGTACGGGGGCCCATGGCCGATATGGGGCCTGGCGGCACCAATGGAAGGCCTGTAATCTGCCAGCAACCTATGACAAAATGGACAACCGCAGGAGTGTGAGGAGATTTCAAAGTGGCATATGGCAGAGTGGAAGCAATGGGAGGCCGTACAGGGACCCAGGTCACACTGTGGGCTGAGCAGCAGCAGCGTGACCAGGCGGTACGGGGGCCCATGGCCGATATGGGGCCTGGCGGCACCTATGGAAGGCCGCTAATCTGCCAGCAACCTATGACAAAATGAAAAAAAACAGCAGGAGTGTAAGGAGACCTCAAAGTGGCACATGGCAGAGTGGAAGCAATGGGAGGCCGTACAGGGACCCAGGTCACACTGTGGGGAGCCAGCAGCAGCAGCGTGACCAGGAGTATTACGGGGGCCCATGGCCGATATGGGGCCTGGCGTAACCTATGGAAGGCCGCTAATCTGCCAGCACCCTATGACAAAATGGAACCCTGGGCTGGGCAGGCAGAACCGCCGTATCTTTATCACGTTTTTCACAGGCCACCGAATGGCGACGCTGCATATGCTGACGCAACGCTGTAGTCCCAACATGGGCCCCCTGGCCACGCTTGACTTTCTGGCCACATAGTCGACATTAGGCTACGTTTACTTCCTCGGGCGGCTTGACGAAAACTTGCCACACATGACCCGAGTAGGAAACTTTGCACCCGCTACTTCCTCACTGGCTGACTGCTACTTCCTCCGTGCACACCGGCACACACTACTGGCTGTGTTGGTAGGCTGAGTGGAGCTGCTGCTCTACTCCGTGGCCGTTTTGCCTCCACTGACACAGCTGCGACCCTGCTGCCTCCTGGCAGCAGCAATGGGAGGCCGTACAGGGACCCAGGTCACACACTGTGGGCCCAGCAGCAGCGTGACCAGGCGGTACGGGGGCCCATGGCCGATATGGGCCTGGCTGGCGGCACCAATGGAAGGCCTGTAATCTGCCAGCAACCTATGACAAAAATGGACAACCCAGGCAGGAGTGTGAGGAGATTTCAAAGTGGCACATGGCAGAGTGGAAGCAATGGGAGGCCGTACAGGACCCCAGGTCAGGACTGTGGGACCAGCAGCAGCGTGACCAGGCGGTACGGGGGCCCATGGCCGATATGGGGCCTGGCGGCCTGGCACCATGGAAGGCCTGTAATCTGCCAGCAACCTATGACAAAAATGGACAACGCAGGAGTGTGAGGAGATTTCAAAGTGGCACATGGCAGAGTGGAAGCAATGGGAGGCCGTACAGGGAGGCCCAGGACCCAGGGTCACACTGTGGGCCTCAGCAGCAGCGTGACCAGGAGGTACGGGGGCCCATGGCCGATATGGGGCCTGGCGGCACCTATGGAAGGCCGCTTAATCTGCCAGCAACCTATGACAAAATGGAAAACCGCAGGAGTGTAAGGAGACCTCAAAGTGGCACATGGCAGAGTGGAAGCAATGGGAGGCCGTACAGGGACCCAGGTCAAACTGTGGGACCAGCAGCAGCGTGAACAGGCGGTATACGGGGGGCCCATGGCCGATTTGACCTCATTCATCCCATAGTCCTGCCGACTCACGAATAGCGTGGCCTCCTCAAAGGGCCTGAGCAAGCGCAGGTGTCACGCATGAGCTGCAATGGCTGACATCTAAGTTACACAGCAGAGTACCTTTATCCGCTTTTAACATCAGGAAATCTGTGATGGCCTTTATGTGCACATGTTCGTAAAGGCGGTCTAACAGCATGTAGGGTTGAATTACACCTTGTTGCAACGCACAGCATGAGGAGTCGGTACGGGGGCCCATGGCAGATTACGTGCCTGGCAGCAGCTATGGGAGGCCCGTAATCTGCCAGCACCCTATGTCAAAAAATTCAACACACCAGCAGTGTGTGTGAGGAGACCTGAAAGTGGCACATGGCAGAGTGTGGCGATGGAGACAGCAGCAATGGGAGGCCGTACAGGGACCCATGAGAGAGACTCTGGACCTGGCAGCAGCATGAGGAGGCGGTATATAGGGGCCCATGGCAGATTAGGGGCCTGGCAGCAGCTATGGGAGGCCCGTAATCTGCCAGCACCCTATGTCAAAAAAATTCAACACACCAGCAGTGTGAGGAGACCTGAAAGTGGCACATGGCAGAGTGTGGCGATGGAGACAGCAGCAATGGGAGGCCGTACAGGGACCCATGAGAGACTCTGGACCTTGGCAGCAGCATGAGGAGGCGGTATATAGGGGCCCATGGCAGATTAGGGGCCTGGCAGCAGCTATATGGGAGGCCCCGTAATCTGCCAGCACCCTATGTCAAAAAATTCAACACACCAGCAGTGTGAGGAGACCTGAAAGTGGCACATGGCAGAGTGTGGCGATGGAGACAGCAGCAATGGGAGGCCGTACAGGGACCCATGAGAGACTCTCTGGACCTTGGCAGCAGCATGAGGAGGCGGTATATAGGGGCCCCATGGCAGATTAGGGGCCTGGCAGCAGCTATGGGAGGCCCGTAATCTGCCAGCACCCTATGTCAAAAAATTCAACACACCAGCAGTGTGTGAGGAGACCTGAAAGTGGCACATGGCAGAGTGTGGCGATGGAGACAGCAGCAATGGGAGGCCGTACAGGGACCCATGAGAGACTCTGGACCTGGCAGCAGCATGAGGAGGCGGTATATAGGGGCCCATGGCAGATTAGGGGCCTGGCAGCAGCTATAGGGAGGCCCGTAATCTGCCAGCACCCTATGTCAAAAAAATTCAACACACCAGCAGTGTGAGGAGACCTGAAAGTGGCACATGGCAGAGTGTGGCGATGGAGACAGCAGCAATGGGAGGCCGTACAGGGACCCATGAGAGACTCTGGACCTGGCAGCAGCATGAGGAGGCGGTATATAGGGGCCCATGGCAGATTAGGGGCCTGGCAGCAGCTATGGGAGGCCCGTAATCTGCCAGCACCCTATGTCAAAAAATTCAACACACCAGCAGTGTGAGAGGAGACCTGAAAGTGGCACATGGCAGAGTGTGGCGATGGAGACAGCAGCAATGGGAGGCCGTACAGGGACCCATGAGAGACTCTGGACTGGCAGCAGCATGAGGAGGCGGTATATAGGGGCCCATGGCAGATTAGGGCCTGGCAGCAGCTATGGGAGGCCCGTAATCTGCCAGCACCCTATGTCAAAAAATTCAACACACCAGCAGTGTGAGGAGACCTGAAAGTGGCACACATGGCAGAGTGTGGCGATGGAGACAGCAGCAATGGGAGGCCGTACAGGGACCCATGAGAGACTCTGGACCTGGCAGCAGCAGCATGAGGAGGCGCGGTATATAGGGGCCCATGGCAGATTAGGGGCCTGGCAGCAGCAGCTATGGGAGGCCCGTAATCTGCCAGCACCCTATGTCAAAAAATTCAACACACCAGCAGTGTGAGGAGACCTGAAAGTGGCACATGGCAGAGTGTGGCGATGGAGACAGCAGCAATGGGAGGCCGTACAGGGACCCATGAGAGACTCTGGACCTGGCAGCAGCATGAGGAGGCGGTATATAGGGGCCCATGGCAGATTAGGGGCCTGGCAGCAGCTATGGGAGGCCCGTAATCTGCCAGCACCCTATGTCAAAAAATTCAACACACCAGCAGTGTGTGAGGAGACCTGAAAGTGGCACATGGCAGAGTGTGGCGATGGAGACAGCAGCAATGGGAGGCCGTACAGGGACCCATGAGAGACTCTGGACCTGGCAGCAGCATGAGGAGGCGGTATATAGGGGCCCATGGCAGATTAGGGGCCTGGCAGCAGCTATGGGAGGCCCGTAATCTGCCAGCACCCTATGTCAAAAAATTCAACACACAGCAGTGTGTGAGGAGACCCTGGAAAGTGGCACATGGCAGAGTGTGGCGATGGAGACAGCAGCAATGGGAGGCCGTACAGGGACCCATGAGAGACTCTGGACCTGGCAGCAGCAGGAGGAGGTGGTATATAGGGGCCCATGGCAGATTAGGGGCCTGGCAGCAGCTATGGGAGGCCCGTAATCTGCCAGCACCCTATGTCAAAAAAATTCAACACACACCAGCAGTGTGAGGAGACCTGAAAGTGGCACATGTTTGAGGCATGATTCATGGCGGATTTTAGTCAGTTGTGTCAGGAACTGGTGGTTTGAAATCCAGACTAACTAATCCACGCCTGATTCATTTTCACAAACGTGAGTCTCTCCACACTTTGGGTGGACAGTCGTGTCCTCCGCGGAGTTACAATACCTCCTGCCGCACTAAACACGCGCTCCGATGATGCCACGCTACTGGCCGGGCATGACAGCCTTTCAAGGGCAAATTCAGCTAGTTGGGGCCAAAGGTCAAGTTTCGTTGCCCAGTAGTCAAGGGGATTGTCTACCTCGGTTGGCAGGGTGCTGTCCAAGTAGGCCCAAGCCTGTTGTTTGAGCTCCTGCTCCAGGTCCACCTGATGCTGCTGCTGCTGCTGCTGCGGCTGGTTAGTAGTTTCCTCACTGCGCTGGTGAAGAAAGCTACTCATCATCGACTGCAGACTGAGGCAGCCGCTGCTGGTGGAGCTGCCACTGCTCCTACCCACCCCACCCCTCCCCCCTGCTGCCATGCCAGCGGAACGCGAGCGCACAGGGCCCACAGTGTCTGAGGATGGACGTTGGCGCACAAAGGCAGAGACCAACTGACTACATAGGTGGTTTTTATAGTACGTAATTTTGGCCTCCCCCTCTCAGCAGGTGTGAAAAAGGCCACCATTTTGGACCGGTAGCGAGGGTCCAACAAGGTGGACAGCCAAAAGTCATCCCTCTGTCTGATGGTTATTATTCGGCTGTCGCTACGCAAGCAACCGAGCATGCTATGGGCCATTTGTGCCAAGGAATGCGAGGGACTCCCTGCCTCCATCTCCACAGCATACTGCCACGGTGCGTCTGGGTCCTCTGTCTCCTCCTCCTCCTCCTCTACCAGATGCTCCTGCTCCTCCACTCCTGTCCGCTGAGTGGAAAAACCACCCATTTCACTCAATAATTCCTGAGCACAAATGTGTCCTCCTCTACCTCCTCCTCTTCTTCCTGTCCTGCCCCCACAGGGGTCATGTGGCGTTGAGATCTGTGCGCCACGTCTACCGCACCCTGACCAGCCATTGTTAACAGCATTTGTTCCAGGACGTGCAACAGAGGAATGACGTCGTTCATCCCATAGTCCTGCCGACTCACGAATAGCGTGGCCTCCTCAAAGGGCCTGAGCAAGCGGCAGGTGTCACGCATGAGCTGCCAATGGCTGACATCTAAGTTACACAGGGGAGTACCTTTATCCGCTTGTAACATCAGGAAATCGGTGTGATGGCCTTTCGCGCTGCTCGTAAAAGGCGGTCTAACATGTGTAGGGTTGAATTCCACCTTGTTGCAACGTCGCAGATCAGGCGATGCTGTGGAATTCCGTTCTGCCGCTGCAGCTCAATGAGGGTGTTCTTTGCGGTGTAGGAATGGCTGAAATGCATGCACAGTTTACGTGACATTTTAAGGATGTCTTGCAGTGGGATGGTGGATTTTAGGAACCGCTTGACAACCAGATTGAACACGTGAGCCATGCATGGCGCATGGCACAACCTTCCTTGACGCAGAGCAGACACCATGTTCTTTCCGTTGTCGGTCAACATGGTTCCGATTTTCAGTTTGCGCGGAGACAGCCATCTGTCGATTTTTCTCTGTTCATTACACTCAGAAGTTCCTCCCCTGTGTGACTACGTTCGCCAAGGCATACCAGGTGCAGCACAGCGTGACACCGTTGCGCCCTGCACATGTGATATGCCGGTCGGGTAATGGGACTTGGCACGGGGGTGGCGGCTGAGGACACGGCGGAAAAAGAGGTGGTAGAGGCGGACATGTTTGCTGGACCAAGGACGTGCAAACGTGTGGAGGCAAAAGCGTCGTGACCTGTCCAAGTTGCTGGTGCGGCTGTGCCGGCACCACGTTCACCCAGTGGGCCCGTAAATGACATGTACTGTCCCTGACCGTAGTTACAGCTCCACACGTCGGCGCTGCCGTGCACTTTGGCAGAGAGAGACATGCTCAAAGACTGGGCCCACCATCTCTTCTACATGTGAATGCAGGGCTGGCACTGCCTTTTGGGCAAAGAAATGACGGCTTGGCACTCTCCACCGCGGCGCGGCACAAGCCATCATTTCTCGGAAAGGTGCTGAGTCCACCAGTTGGAAAGGGAGGGACTGCAGCACCAGCAACTTGGACAGGAGGACGTTCAGCTTTTGCACCGTCGGGTGCGTGCTCGCAAACTGTTGTCTCTTGGAAACGGATTCCAAGAAAGACTGTTGACGGAATCCGAGAAGAGGAGTAGCAGGAGAGAAGGAGCATCTGAACGAGCGGAAGATGCCAACGAGCGACAACTCCCCTCAGCAGAGGTGTTGGAGCCTTGACTGGCTGATAGAGGGTGATTGACGCGTCGGGTGACGGAGCAAGTAACGGAGCGGGTGATGGAGCGGGGGCTGGGGCAGGCAGAACCGCCGTATCTT